GGGGTGGGCTATCCTTCGACTTACGCTGTTTCTGATCTTCAACAATAACCTCCCTGATATCATCAGTTCCCAACTAGATATTTATGCAGAAGACATTTACTCTTGCCTTATTAGCAAATCCAACAGACCCCCGACAAAGTAAACTTGGTAACTACTCTTGAAAAGGACCTCCAATCAAAGATTAACTGGGGCCAGAAATGGCTTTAAACATCGACGCCTTCAAAAGAAAACTACATTCATTTAATCATCACAAAACCTTTACGACCTACCATCAGGATGGCTTGTGCTGAAGTCCAGATGAGAAACATTCTACGCCTTCTTTTCGTCACATTTTCCACTAGCATGAAATGGAGCAACTATATCGAGTCCATTGCTACATCTGTTTCGAGAAAGGCTGATTCACTGTGTCGTGGCAAAAAAAAAAAAATCGTCATGAATCCATTTTGCATATTTATAAATTTACCATTCATTCATGTATTGAATACTGCTGCCATATCTTGTCTGGTGTTCCTACTGTGCATTTCGAGATTCTTGAGAAAATCCAACGAATAGTCTGCAATACAATCAATCCTGACAAGACATCTCGTCTCCAGTCACTTTCTCACCGACATGACCTTGGCTCCCCTCTGCCTGTTCTACAAATATTTTCATAGCAACTGCTCGAATGATTTTTCTTGGTGCCCAGACTACATGAATTTAAGCGTGTTACTAGATTAGCAACTAGGGTTTAGCCTTATTTTGTTTTACGGCATATCAACACCACAATGGGTTATTTAATGCCGTCAAGATTTTTAGGATAGGTTCCTATGAATAGAGTATGTATTCCATTTTTTTTTCAAAAATATATTTCTGGTAAAATTCAAAAAATGTATTGCTGGTATTTTTACTATAAAGACCTATTTTTATACTTTCATAGTTTTTCGACCCCAGTTTGTATTTTAACTGTTTGCCCATAGCTGGGACCCTAACAGGTGCTACCACCCAAGGTCAGGGTGAACCTGCGGACCAGAGCAAGTAAGAGGTGATTCCATACCGTTCAATCATAGGCCTGGCTGCCGGATGTAATTTATCGTCATGACCAGAACACGGCAACAAGTTCTCACTGTTTTACTGTTGAAATAGCTTGATGCAAACGTCACTTATTCTCTAACCGTTTTTTATCGTACTTCTTACCTGTGCAACTCCCTTCCGATTTCTTGCGTTCCCGATAACTACAATCTTCAAAAATTTAAATGCAACGCCAATTGCCATTGTCTGTTTTCTTGAAACCTGCTCCTTACCTCAATCCTCTTCATTCTCAGTCTCCTTCACTCCCATCTTCTTTTCCCCCCCCACCGCGTCTTGGTGACGTTGTCGCCTTGCTTGGAGTGGGGCGATTAAAAAATTAATTATTAAATTTTCTATTTTTATTTTTCCTTTACAGGAACGACGTTTTGTAATCCAATCTTCTTTGGCCCCAGGTAACATTTGATTCGAACATTTCATTTGCAATTATTTTCCTTGTGTTCTTATCAATCCGAATTTTTCAAAAGACATAATAATTATTTTATAAATCCTTTCAAAGTATCTTATTTATTCGATCCTATATTTCTCGCCACATAGCACACCTGATAATCCGATTAAATCCAGTCAATCCATCCAGTCTTTGAGACCAACAAAGAACAGAATAGCATATTGTTTAGGTTTATCCAATTCTTCTATAGCCAATATATTTCGCAGAAGGAAAGGCTGTGAGATTTGGGGGCGAAATTACAGGAATAATAGGACTCATTAATGCAGCCGATAATTGAGTTAATTAAATTTAACGCTTTTTTTAAGACCTGCTATTGTTTAAGGAAAATGCCCCTGACTTCACGTAGTCAACAACTTTAGACCAGAATTATTTCCAGATGACGCCTCATTTGGAAATAAAAACAAAATTAAAATTGATTGGAAAATTGATGGAAAATATTTCAATTGATTTTTCATTGTGATCAATGATGAATTAACGTCAATTTATTTGAAAAGATTTAAATAACCTCTAAATGAAGATTTATTTTGAACAATAGCTTCATATAATAGCAATGCCGCGCTGTAATATCACAGGTAGGCTGTATTAAAAAAAAATACATCAAAACTTTCATTCAATCTAGCAATTTCATAAAGAGTACGAGAATACATTCGTTCATTACAGGTGAAAATGAAACCTTAAACACCATTATATTTTAATACCAACTTCATGTGATAGCGGTAAATGTAACTAAAGTTTTGACATTTTTTCATCATTATACTTTTTTTTTTTTTACTGCTACATCACTCCGCTTGATTTTAGTCATTTAAATTTTAGTCGCTAAATAACTAAATCTCTCCGAGGTATACTATATACATTATTCGGAGTATTGTCCTCATCTTTGTCGCCATATTTATTACAACGTTTCGGCCGTTGTACGCTCCGGCCTTCTTCAGGTGGTTGGAATGTCGAACTGAACCCTTTATTTCGCTCAGTGGGGTAGACTGTTCTAGTTCTACGTGCTATGTTTTAATGGATGTCAGTTATCTCCTGTTAATTCCCCTCTCCAAGTTTTCCACGGTCTTAACCGGGTATTGAACTTACATACTTTGGGTCCTGTCAATGAATGTAACCAATGCCTTTATCCACTGTGCCATTGTACTTGATAAATAAAGGGTTCAGTTCGACATTCCAACCACCTGAAGAAGGCCGGAGTGTAAAACGGCCGAAACGTTGTAATAAATATGGCGACAAAGATGAGGACAATATTCCGAATAATGTAAATAGTGTACATAATACTTTATCTCAGAAATATAGACAGATGCCCTCTGAGGTATATAAAATATGTTTTAGCAAGTTTATACACTCCGGACTGTATGTTATATATGAATAAATGAGAAGACAGGGATTTCTAATGGTCAGTAATTAGGATAAACATTGAGAAGAGAATAGAACTGAATAATGCTATTATATACATAATGTCAATGCATTATTAATAATTTTAATATAGAAATATATTGAAAATCATCAAGGGGGGTATTGTCAATGGCCAGCAATGAATGGAATTGTTGCTAATACAATGTAAATGGACAGAGCATTAATATTAAAAATTAATTGATTTAAAATATGGTTTTCCGCTACACAGTTCTAACCGTGTTTCAAAAATGGAAGCTAAAAGCTTAGAATTTAATTTTGTAATTAAATTAAAGACATTAGACATAAAACCATATTTTAAATCAATTAATTTAATATACACATATATGAAGAAAATATCTGGAAAAACAAAACAAAAATCCTTAAAATGCGATTATGTTGTTTTAAAGATTTTTGTTTTGTTTTTCCAGATATTTTCTTCATTCTGTCGGATTTATATCCATTTATATTTGCTTATCATACACACACACACACACACACACACACATATATATATATATAAATACATGTATAATATTATGCATATATCGTGCAAATATATAATTTTTTATGTATATAATGTACATTATATTGTAAATAACATGGAAACGTTTTACTTTGTTAAATTGCTAGATTAAAAAAGAAAAACTTGTTAAATACCAGGACTTAATGCAGAAAACTGATCTTATATATATATATATATATATATATATATATATATATATATATATATATATATATATAGAGAGAGAGAGAGAGAGAGAGAGAGAAAAGAAAAGAGAGAGCGATAGCAGATACTGGCCAGAAAAATCTATTTTTCTGATAAATTGTCTTCCAAGAAAGATTTTATAAATTTCAACAGACAACAGCACTGGCTACTCGGTTACATAATGCCGAATGTTTCCTTATAAGAAAACGGCTAATATTACCATTACTACTAGCAAATGCATCGGTAATGACTTTACTGCAGGAATGCATTGGAAATCGGTATTTCTGTAAATTTTAGCAAAACAAATATATTGGTCAGGAATTAATGCAAGCATTGCTGAAAAGATAGGACTATATGTTATGGGCGTTGACTAAGAAGGAATTTTGATTAAATATTTGAAAATGAGTCGCGCCGAAAATATTCTAGTCCCCTCTCGTATATGCATAAGAATTTTAACGTAGAAAAGGATTGAAAATCACGAAGATAAGGATTGTCGGTGGTCAGGAATTAATACAAGCAATGCTAACAGAATTGTCTATGATATGTATTATGTAAATACACTGTTAATGATCTTACTACAGTAATGTATTGAAAATCAGGAATCAAGGGATTGTCTGTGGTCAGAAAGTAAGGAATGCTTTACTAGTAGTTTAAGACTATTATATGCATGATTTCAACATATCGCTGTTAATTGTACTGTAAGAATGCATTGAAACTCAGTATGAAAGAAATAAGTCATTGTTTAGGACTATTGTATACATTACATATTTCCGTGTATGTATGTATTGGTGTGTATATCGGGTATTTTGTGTATATAGGTAATTTCAATTAATATAACTAATTGTATTATAAAACATAAAGTCTGATGAAATGTAAGTCTGTGAGTTGTTCCCTCATAGAAAAACAACAATATTCCAGTGACCTAATTTAAAAAAAAACAAAACAAAAAGAAACTTGTCTCTTATCAGAAAACTTTCCTTATCATGCCTGTCCGTCACGTGACCACGGTTATCATTTTCTCTTGACATCGAATATTTCTTCCTTTCTTATTTCAATTAGGAAGAAAAAGAAAAACTCATAAAAAATTGACTTGTAACTTGCAAAAGCTTGATTAAAAATTCTCTCATTCTCGATGGACATATGAGGTCTCTTTTTGTTGTCAATAGAATATTTATATTTTAGAATTTCGGCAGAGAGCGTTTAGATTGGAAACGGAAAAGAAGCTGATAATATGGCCGTCTTCCATGTAAGATCAAAACAAAACGAATACCGAAAATAATAAACAGATTATTATTGACTTCTCTCTTTGAAAGGAAAAAGAAAAAGAAAAATAGAAAAAGAGTGGGAGTGAAGATAAAGAAATAAAAAAGAGAGACAGAAATTCGATGATTAGAAAGAGAAAGGAAGTGACAAAAAAGACGAAGATTGAAAAGACAGGGAGAGAGAGAGAGAGAGAGTGATGATGAGAGGTAGATGAAGAGAGATAAAGACAAAAAATAAAAGAGAAAGACGAATCGAGTGAAAATAACGAGGAGATTGAAGAGAGAGGTAGGAAGACTGACAAAGAAATGTAAATGAAAGAGACAAATTCAGAAAGTCAGAGATGACATAGACATGAATGGCCAACTCATTCTTAGAGAAAGAAACAGGAGTGAAGTGAATGAATAGAAAGAGAATAGTGGCGAAGAATGAGGAAGTGAATAAAATAGCAATTGAAGAGAGAGGAGGAGGAAGAAAACAAAAGAAAAGAGTCAATAATGAGAGAGGGGTATCTAGAAAGAGGCTAAACCGGAAGAGAGAGTGCGTCGTACTAAATAACTTTTACCAGTCTACATCACAATGTTTCGCCTGTCGTACGCTCCGGCCATTATGTCTATGTCTCTCTATATATCTGTCTATATATCTCAGATGAGGTCTTATGATTACTTGCATTATTTACATTATTCAAACTGTTATCCTCATCTTCATTGCCATATTCACAATGTTTCGTCCGTTGTATGCTCCGGCCTTTATGTCTATGTCTCTCTATATATCTGTCTATATCTCTGAAATAAGGTATTATCAATACTTGCATTATTTACATTATTTGGACTGTTATCCTCATCTTCATTGTCGCATTCACAACGTTTCGGCCGTTGTACGCTCCGGCCTTCTTCAAGTGACTGGAATTTTGAACCGAACCCTTTATTTTATCTCCTTGAGGACACATGGCCCACTGGATAAAGAAGCTGGTTAGATCCAGTGACTAGACCCAAACAGTTGTGAGTTCAGTAGCAGGCCACAGCAGTGGTGAACCAAAACTTGGATAGTTGAGTTCAAGGAAAATAACTGAGACATCAGCAAGATGCATGACACGTGGAACTAGAACAATCTACCCCAGTGGACGAAATAAAAGGTTCGGTTCGAAATTTCAATCACCTGAAGAAGGTTAGAGTGAACAACGGCTGAAACGTTGTCAATATGGCAATGAAGATGAGGATAGCAGTCTGAATAATATAAATAATGCATGTAACTTTTACCAGACAGAAAATTTCGATCAAGTCACTTTTAACTTTCCGTTTATTTGAACTAAGATTCTCATCTTTGTTAGTTTTTAATATCAAGTTCTGGCCGATGCTTTCATCAGTATTTTCTCAATTTTTAGAATCAGGAGAACCAATATCATTAATATACAATAGTATTTTTTAAATATATTCTAACTGCCACTCTCTTGCCTCACAGGCCACACCCCTTGATGCTCAATCTCACGCCCGTAAAGAACTCAGTTCTTTCTTTTTTTTAATAATTTCTTCACCCAATACAAGGCTCAAGAACCACTCAAGACAGAGGGTTATTGTGTGTTGTATGAGTGTAAGAAAATGCAAGAAGTAATGTTCACGATCGAAAAAAATATATATATTTCAGGAATTAATGCAAGTATTCATGAAAATGTCTGACTATAAGTTGTGGGCGTTGACCAAGCAGAATTTTAAAAAAATTCTCTGATATTTTGCTATTTGGTTAAGTTTTTGAAAATGAGTCGCACCGAGAATCTTCCATTCCGATCTTGTAGATGAATAATAATATGTCCGGGAACGGGATACATTTGTTCGAAGTAGCAAAGTGTTTGTTCGCTACTGTACTCGGGTAGGACAATGTAGCAGGTAACCGTAATGGACTGGTCCTCGTCGTAGTGGTAGGCAATAGGCGGAGACAATAGGCGACCCTGTACCTCCACATCAGTCTGTATTATTGGGTGACATCAGCCGATCCTATTACTGTAAGGGGGAACCCAGGTGTATGCATATTCATTACATCAGATAAGGATTCTAACGTAGAAAAGGATTGAATATCACGAAGAAAGGGATTGTCAGTGATCATGAATTCATACAAGCATTGCTAACAGAATTGTCTATAATATGTATTCTGTAAATACACTGTTAATGATCTTACTACTGAAATGTATTGAAAATCAGGAAGATAGGGATTGTCAGTGGTCAGGAGAAGTAATGAATGCATTACCAGTAGTTTAAGACTATTATATGCATGAAAACCCACCGCTGATGATATTATTGTAAGAATGCATTGAAACTCAGTATAAAAGAATTAGGTCACTAGTTAGGAATTTTTTTTTTTTTACCTATTATATGTATTAGGAGAGATAACGGTTAACCCTTGACTTGATGATGTCAAGATTATAGTGATTGAAAAAACAACCTGTCAGGGGTTTGTTCCACAAGCAGCAGTTCTTGGGAAGAAGTTGTCCTAGTGTAACTTACTTCTTACTAATGGAATGTTATGGGAATGAGTATGATTTACCCTTGTATGCGTGGTATAGCTCATCCAAATTGAAAACGGTCAATCAGGGCCGGTGGATCCAAGGAATGTAGATCGTCAGGACACATGCGATGGAAATAGTCATAAAGTAGCGACGTTTCTTCTTCTTACTTTTGGAACACGGAGGGAATGACGGTGTTTCGATTCCGTGGAAATAGCATGACCTGACGCTGGAGTAGATTCTTTAAAAGCGGTGCATTGCTTATCATAGTAATTTGTTTACGGGCGCGTGCACACACGCACACATACATACAGACACACACACACACACACACACATATATATATATATATATATATATATATATATATATAGAGAGAGAGAGAGAGAAAAGAAACGCGATAAAAATTATTTTAAAAATGAAAACTTTCTTGAAGCTTTTATTTTAGCTTTATTTTCAAGCTAATAGATCAAATTTAATATTTCCAACGAGAAAAATACTTTGCAGTATTTCAAACCTAATTTAAAATGGCTGGTAGCTGTGTTTTTTTAATCACGAAGAATCGCTGATTTTAGACTTTTTAGTCATTTCTCAGCACATGGTAATTCACTCTAAAAACTTTATTTTAGGAATATTAGCAATCTTAGTTATTTTTTAACACAAAAGTAGGCGTTTTTATTAGGTATTGTCAGCTCTATTGACGGATTTACATGAACGACTGTATTTACAAAAATCGGCACGTTTATACACATACACGAGAGATTAATAATTCTTTTTAAAATACTGATGGTCAGGAATTGTATTAAACTTTTCCGTGTATGATTAATAAATATTATGTTTATTTAATAAAATTATCACCTAACCAGTAAGATTTAAAATTATAAATTATTTTAATCAAAAAATAAATAAAAGCAATTCTTGTAAAAATTCATTATTAATTGAAAAAGAATATTTTTTAAGACAATAGTGCCCAAATATATCTCATTCCTAAAATCAATTAAAATATTTTCTAATTAAATAATCTCTTAATTTTTCTGATTTTTTTATTATTTTTTACGATTCAGAGCAGATTTTCGCTAACTGGGATTAATGTTTGACGAAAAGCAAAAATGATGTTTTAAATTCTCCAAGAACTAATATAAATGTTAATTCATACAAAAATGAATTTCTCGAAATTTCATAGAATTAAATAGACGTGTGTCTGCTGGTGGTGGTGCTGGGGGTCTAATAGATGTAAAAAGAAAAGTTTTCTAAAACATTTCTAAAATATTGAACATTTTATTCAAAATCCGACAATATGTTGATTTTTGTAAGAATTTTCAAATCAGTGTGTTCTTCACGGCTAAAAAACACTCTAAAATTTCTTATAATAATTTATGGTTATTCGCTGACGCAAAACAGCACAACTTTTAGCCAAAATTTCGAATTTTGCAAAAGGATAACAAAATATAATTTAATACTCAAAACAGCCTTCCTCTTAACATAAAATAAACTTTGTTTTTATTAAGGTTGGAGCATTTTTTCATCAAAAATGCTCATTCCTTAGCGGATCATTGGAGCGAATATTTTTAGCAAATTACGCAAAAATGTAATAAAAATGACAGATAAATTTCAAATAGTAAATTTATTCAATAAAATTGCAATTGGCTTAAACCACGGACTCCATACAACTTCGCTATCTCCTGAAACTCTTCTGGACATTTTCTTTCTTTAAGATGATAAATCCTGCCATAATCCTTGCCATCAGTTCATTTTTGGTGTTGCAAAGAATTTTGTTGGCTTCTCGGACAACTGCGCCCCACACGTAATCAAGGGGTTTGCAAGCTGGGGAGTTAGGTGGCCAGATGTAAGGGTTGATGAGGTTGCAGAAATTGCCTAATAGCCATGACTAGGTTCCCCTGCTTGTGTGGCGTGGTGCAGATTCTTTTTGTCAGATAGATGGTCTTCCAGCAGCCACCTTCTCGACCACGGCAGCACTACCTCCTCAAGGCACTTGATGTAAGCCTCTGTGTTGAATCTGAGGCCCTCACTAACAAATTAGGGAGTTCTTTTCTTATCAGAACGATCAAAGTGAGTTTTCTCAGCTGCATACCTTCATAATCACCATTAGACACATGAAACTCTTTCCAAATACTCTGGACTATCCACAGATTGACACCGAAACACTCTGAAATATTCATATTTGAGCTTCAGTCGCGAACGCCAAGCAGTACAGCATGCCGTTTCCAAATTTCTGGCGGAGTGAATTGCGTTATGGTTCTCTTCAACTGATTTTACTATACTGTACAGTCGACAAAATCAAAATAAAAAACGCGCATGCGCGAAATTAAAAATGTAAAATGGCGACAATTTACTCATCGTACTGTTTAATGTTCATGCATTTTGGAGAATTCCAGGCACTTTTACATTTCCAAAGTCACTCTTGGTTTACGGGGCAGGTTTTCGGGATGTTATTTGAATTTTATTTTCAAGTCTATCAAAAAAAGCCTTACGATTCAAATCTGTACTCCTGAGAGGCAGAGAAATTCTCTTCGTTTTGCATGAATTTATCGGAGATCATGAGACGAAAGATTTGATATCACGATCATCTCTAGGGGTTGTTTTCTGAAACCTTCATTTTTCTTTCGCTCAGAATATGGTAGCATTGGAATTCAGTCTTGATATAACCCATAAAACTTACTTTAAGAATATTCTTTACAATCACTTCACAACATTCAATGTCACCAAGACTCTGTGTCACAGCATTTCAAAATTGAGGAACATCAAATATTGCAATTTGTTTGCATTTAATAAAAATGTATGGTGCAATATTTTGCAATAATACAAAAGTATTCATTCTTACCAACAGGTCTTAAAAAAATTAAACCAAAGTTATATATATGTGTCACACATTATTAAATGGACAAAGTCCGACAATCATTTTTATACATTATATTTATAGGTACAAATATTTAAATAGATGCTCTTTTTATAATAAACAGTATTAATAACATTTACAAGCCTGAATGTCCGAGAAATTTTCATAGAAAATATGCGTCAGGAATCAAACCGTCAGATAGCCTGACGTGCCTTAACCGATTGGGCCACAGAGAAGCGTTCGGTTAGCAAGGTCGATTTTACTGTCTTTAAACTACGACCTTTCATGATTCTCTCACGTACATTCATATCTGCTCAATGCGTATCCAAATGTAAACAAATTACGTCACACATTATGAATTGAACAAAGTACGATAATTATTTTTAAGACATTTTTATGTTTATACGTTCATTTTAGATAAAAAGAAAGTATAATCATAAAAAAATGTCTTAAAAATATTTGTGTGTGTGTGTAAATATTCTTAGATATAGTGTATCTGTAGAAGAAAAAAGAATGAATAAGAAGAAACAAGAGGAAAAACTAGACTTAGCCGATGCCTTTCGTGCTCTCAGGAACTTTATCAATGCAATTATCATTCTATCAATCGTAAATGCCCAGCTCAATTATCGTCTAACATTGTCTCCCTTTAGCTCCTGACACTGCTACGTCTTCCCACTGAAACTAACTGGTCTTTTTAAAATTAAGTTTTTACGCTTAAAGCTCGGTACGTATTCCTTCCGAACTGCGTTGCCGCAATATATGTTCTACTCTCCTAAGACCAGCAGTAAAATTGGCTTATTCTTTGGTCAAACCACGTTGTTGAATATACAAATGTCTTCCTCTTCTTCTTCTTCTTCTGGACGTAGGCGATCATGGCTTTTAAATATCCTGTTCTTTGTAGCTCTTAAATTTTGTCGGTTATCGTTAGATAGTTTACTTGCTTTTCTCTATCCGTGTTTCTTTTGGTATGTCCTGTGAGTATCCAATTTTCTAGGCCCACTTTTCTCATTATTTTCCGCAACCTTCTGAAAAACATATTTCTCTAGCCTGAAACCCCTTTTGCATCTATGATGAGAGATTGTCCAGTATCCACTGGCATATAGGAGAACTGAGAAGGCATAATGGTTAAGTACTCTTTTATTTATTTCAAATTCTCCTGTTTCTTAATACTTTGCTTAGCTTTTGGAAGGCATCTTTTGCTACCCCAATGAACCTTGGTGTCGCCCTTTCCGTTCTCTGTTTAAACAGTTCTTCTTAGATATTTAATACTTTTTTTGTATCTTTAATTTCTAATTCGCATGCTGTGTTTTTTTAAATTTTTGCTAACTGTCTGTCTTCTTATAATTGATATTTAGTCCTTTCTTCTCGCTTTCCTTTGCTACCATCTGTCTCTTTCTCTGCTATCTGCATATGTTGTTAAGTTTGCGTCCACTAATAATGAATCCTTCTGAGGCTTGCTCCTCTGTATAGGTTAGACGGTGGAGTAATGGGTAGATTGCGGAATCTGAGAGCCGAGGTCGAATTCCAGTCGAATCCATTACATTCACTTACGTGCTAGTACCCAGGTGAAAAGTATGAATCCTCTTCTTCTTCCCCACCAGCTATGGGTAAATGGCAGGACACACCGGATTCTATAGCCTTGGATGGCAAATGGTCTACCTCAGAAAGAAATGATAAAAAATCTGCCTCGTCAGGCACGTATCGAAAGATACATGATTTCCTACGCGTGTATCATGCATGACACATAACTGGCTTTAGCGGAAAACTAAATTATTTATCTTATCTCGATAAACAGGTGAATTCCGATGATTTTCAACTAATTTGTTTTCTACTTTTAAAAGTTTGATAAACGGGAAAAGTGTTCCATTGATCGGAATAAAGGATAAATGTTAAAACCAACTGAGAAGGATCTTCGCAAAAACCTGAACTTTGGAATTTATTTTTGGCTTGCATTGTCAATTCATCTTCTCTTGGACAAATATCCGTGTCATGAGGCATTAGAATAACCAAAAGTATGTGCTTGGATATTCTTGAATCCAAATCTTCTCTTTGCATCTGTGAATTAAACAGAAGTGTAAACTGAGTTATCTAGCCTTGGCTGGCGGTCAGTCTAGGACATGTGTCAACTCAAAACTTGCGAAGGCATCTGGAAACAAGTTATCTCACCCAAATAATTGTCGTCAGCAATTAATGAATTTAATGTGTTGTTCTGTAGGGTATCATTTTTTGTGTTCATATAATCCTTATTTAAATTTCTTGAGGTTTCTCCTATGGATCTTTTGTGACAATTATTACTAATGGATTAATTATTTAATGGATTAAATTCCTCCTTCAAGTTTCAGCTTATTGTTTCGTTTTGTATTGACTACGTCTTTTATAATTTTCGAAGTAATTGCAACAAATTTTATGATGAGTTTAGATAAATCCTTTACAATTGTAAAAACTACCAAAAAATTTAAGCTAGCTTAAAAGATGCCCTATCGGGCAGCATTTAAGCTAGTTCCTGTAAAGCACTCTTGGTTTGGTCATCATCACAATAGCTAGGGAGGAGTAGATGTGATAGGCATCAATAAACTACAGAAGAACACAAAACTGACCGTTGGATTTAAGTATTGAATTAAAGTTTAAGCTTATGTTTTAAAAGTTCAACGATAATTCTTCTGCTGCCACTTAATTTAAAGACACTTTGATGTATGTACATCCTTATTTTCCGTACAAACAATTATTTTTATTCCATGGGTGACAGAACAGGGAACAATTTATAAGATAAAATTAATATAGTGTAAAGATGGGAAAATAAAAATTAGAATTAGTTATACATTGAACATTTGAAGAGTTAGAGAAACATAATAGATTATTAAGTAAAACCTATATTATGGAATCTATATGAATAAAAGTGAAATTGGTGCTCAATTCTCCCACGAATTCTGAGATTAAAAAGCCCCAGCTCTATTTATAGTAATTTACATACGGTATTTACTCTGCTCCCCGACCGCTAGGACGAGATGTGACACAAGGTCTATTTTTAGGTGGGGACCCGAGCATGTACACCCGGGACAGGAACAAAAATTGCCCTCAGCCCCCGCAACCGTCGGTTGAGCTGGCCTCGATGCGAGCACTGATCCCTCCCTCTGGTGCAATGGGAGGGCGCAGTCTGGGGAGCCGTTCCCCAGGGCTGTGCACCTCTTCAGTAAGATTTTCTCAGTTGCCCCTCTGTCCTTTGACAGAGAAGCCCCTGAGCGCACTATGCCCAAAGACAGAGACGCAACCGAGAGATGATAAGTAGATGTCTACCTACTCAAAAAGAGGGAGATACACACTGAAAAGTTCAACATCTGTATTATATATTATCTACTTCTAGGCAATATCACTCTTCAGGTTTAACTAATTTGTATAGTTATTTAAAAAAAAAAAAGTTTATTTCATTAACAATTGTTCTTCATTACTGTTCTTTTATTCGAGGATTGTCAAAATAGTTCTGTTTAGGAATATCGTTTTATATAGTGAAGAAAAGTTTGAAACTTGCATTTTCCTTGGCCTTCAACAAGTTGGCATTTCTTTTTAAAACTTTCCTTAACTAAAAAGCCAATTTATGAATGAAGTGTTCCTTTAAAGTTTTTGTTTCAAAGATTTCAAGTAGTGAATATATCTTATTTTGCGAAGTGATAGCGATCAGGCGAAACCTGCTGTTGGAAAATAAAATAGGGTACTGAAGTAGATTAAAAGTGTTTTTAGTACATTTCTCCTTTTCATGCAAAACATTTCCAGTGCCTTGAATATTTTATATTCAATTCGAAACAATATTCAGTTCTAATATATTATTATAATAGTTGCACAAAAATTTATTGCTTATTCTTAAAGATTAAAGTGTCCTCCAGTATCTGTCTATATTTCTGAGATAAGGTATTATGTACACTATTTACATTATTCGGACTAGTGGGACATGGAACTAGAACAGTCTACGCAGTGAGCGAAATAAAGGGTTCAGTTCGACATTCCAACAACCTGAAGAAGGCCGGAGCGTACAAAAGCCGAAACGTTGTAATAAATCTATAACTACTCTTACGCAACAAAATGTAGGAAAGTAAAATAAAATATATTATTGCTCTTTGCTAACACAAAATTAAACAAAAATAGCGAAAATTGTCGAGACCATGAAAACTAAGCGGAATGCCTCTTCACATTTAGTCTTTTCAAAAAGAAAAAAAATGTAAGGAAATTAGGAAAACCGAATCCGAAACTTAACACAATATTCTTTGCATGTTCAACAAAACATACATAAAAGAACGAATATATATATATATATATATATATATAATAGGTTCTAAATAAGATTTATTTGCCTAAGTTCAGGCGTTTTTAGATTGTTGGCATTAGAGTTGGAATCCGTTCAAAGCGATCTCATTTTTAACACTTAAACGGAAGAATCATGTATCGAATATCTATGGGAACTTTATTTATTTATTTTTAAATACAAAAAACAAAGACCACGTATATATTCGATAGAATCGTTTTCCGTTTAACTCTCGCAATTGACGTCATTCTGTACTGATTCTAAGTCTCTTTGCAGCAATCTAAAAACGCGAGTATCTAGTGAAATACACGCATGCACGCACACGCACACATACATACACACACATATATATATATATGTATTATAATATTTTTATTATTAGAGATTATAATAAAAACATTTTAAATCA